CGACGCCATCCACGTAGCATGATTCTCGAATTTTTGTCAGGAACATGGAAAGAGTAACACGTACGCGAAGGTGACACGCGTCGCGTGACGCCCTCGCTGTGAGAACATGTGACTGCGAGACATAAGCCGACGAATTAATGGGGCTATTTTTTTATTCAGCGGCACGGTACTGACCACGCTCACCCCCTCGCCGGCCCGTCCGTTATACACCGTCGGGTACTTTATTTTATTTTATAGGATTCGCGTCAGAGTCGCGTTAGCCACGTAGCACATAAACTCGCCCCTGCCACGCTATATAAAATGATACCGTCTCGATATGAACGAGTTCGTTAATGTTAATCGGGTTTGCCAGCTTCCCGAAAGCACGTGTGATTAGGAAATTATTATCCAATCTATAGAATTATTAAACTTTCATGTATCTTTGTGCTTTTTAATAACTTCAAAATTAAGTATTCTCAAAAAGATACGATTTCTTTTCAAATGTCTAGTTCAAATAAACTAGAGTTCTTTAGCTGTACGTATTATTTCCTATCGAACAATTGAATTATTTATTGCAGAAGAGAAATATATTTAGCGACAAAAGATTTTTGAAAGGAAAAACTCTAGCTACGATCTTTTTGTGACACTTCTTAATTTGTCTAAATTATTACAGATAACATACAACGCGCGTGGATTGTAATAGTTAGCATATATGTTTTCATACTTTATACATAATAGTTTCTTTAAGAGAAAAGTGATTCATCTTTTTCATTCTTGTAAAAATATCAATTCGTGTCTCCTCTAATGATCACTTTAATTAATTATGAATAAAATATTCTGAAGAAGAATAAAATATTCGTTTAAAATAGATCAAAACGCGTATTCTCGATTGGCAAATTTCCGGTAGCTAGAGCTTTTTAGCCGCGCTATTATTCTGCATCGTACACGCGTGCAGGCGACTCTATTATTATGAACGGCCGTGTATTATCGTGGATGCAGGACAGTCACTGATTTCGATCCGACGAGTCGGAACAAATGGCCGCCATGAAGGCGCGCTATCTCTCTAATGAAAATCAAGAAAAAGGCTCGCATTGTGCCGGACAGGCTTCGTGCGCCATCGGCAGCGACCGTGATCTATCACGAATTGAAATTCATACACGCGCACGAGCCTTTTTTTTATCATCGACTCAACGAACACGGAAGCGGCACGCTAACTGTCTGGTAATTAGGGCTTTGCAGAGTTCGTACGCAATACGCGCGTTCGAATATGTTGCTCAATTATTAACTATGATCTCTATAGATCGCGAAAATGGTCGACATGTCCACTTATTAAATACAAAAGTCGAAATTAAATGTATATTATTTATGGCAAGAGAGCGCATACAAGGAAACTCGTAAAACTTTAATGAATATTCCGAAAGCGATGTTATGGTTTTTGATAAAAACATATAACTAATTTCAACGCGGAGGTAATATAATTTTTACTTAAAATGTATTAATTAAATTATATTAATTAATTTTACGAAAAGTACTTCATCTACCTATTAATTGTCTCGTTCCATTAATTATATTATACAGGAAGAAATTGCTCATTTCACCTTAAATCGTGGAAGACGCTACATACACCTAAAATTTATATGATTTTACCTCAAAACTTGGACGAAGACGATTAGCAATATCTACGAGGAAAGATATATAATAAAGATTCCTGAATATTTCGAAAGATTTCGGATAATTTTTTTTACGACGTATAAAAAAAAATCATCAACTTCAATACTCGATGACAGCCGCCGATGGCCATCAACCGGGTTCAGAAATACTCGTTACAAAAATCCGCGCCGTAATTGCCCAAGCCTTATTGAAATGTATGGCAGATCGCGGATGACACTCTCCCAGGACCTTGCCTCGCGCGCATTATTTCACAGTAAAAATAATGTAATTCTGGTCACACCGCGAGAACGAGAGATCCTTATCACAACGTGGCCCCTCATCGTGGTGCCCCTCTGACGCCTCGGCGCTTCCACTCGTCACGCATATCTCTCGTCCCGAACCGTGTCCGCGACTGCAGCAGCCTTAACCATGGAACGGGATTTGAGAAAAAAAGAGAGTAGAGAAAAAAAACCGCGATTTTCGAGATAATCACTCCGTTATTCTAACAAAACAATATTTCTTAAATTCTTGCATAAAGTTTGCGAACTTTATCCCTCTCTCGAACACGGAATTAAAAAGTGTCATAAATTTTATGTCTCGCTAATTCTTTTTTCTTCATTGTAAAAAAATTTACAAGTTTGAAGATTTGGTGTATTCCGAATTTCTGTCCTGTGTATTTTATCGGCAGTTTTATAGAGAGAAACCTTTACGGACAGTTATAACGATTTTCAAAGGATTAATACATTGAGTTTCAATGTAGAATGATTTCGGATGATAATAACAGTCGTAGCCACGCCTGAGCGGGCGTAAATTAGTCGAAATCTCAGCACTTCGCATGTAACAGGATACAATTCCACGACATTTCATCCTAACTCTACTGTCCATCTCGGATCTCTCCTTTGAAACATAAGACGTTAAAAATGCAGGACGAGGAATGTAATGGAATCCTCCGAATCTTTCGATTAACGACGGGTTTTTCATTGAACGACATCAAAATTAAATATGTTACAAATTCGAGATATTTGCAAGTTTATAAAATTGCAATTCTATCCGTCAAAATAACGTATTCTAACATATTAATATTAACCAATATTATTATAGCATATTAAAACTAATAAATATTTTCATTTTACTTCAAGCTAATTTAACTTAATTATGTTTGGCCCGAATAAAAGAATTATGGGCTAACCAGCAATCATCTCGAACGAGTCTCACATCGCTAAAATTACAGGCGAGCCAACGGCGAAGGTGACTATCGAGAAGACACCGAGGAGATGCCGAGGAGATGTTGTCAACCCCGATCGGAGCTTCTTCCTCGTGAGTGGATTTCATCGAGAGACAAATGGGTCAACGTACGACAGCTGACTCAAAGTGGATGAATCATCGTATGCGCATGGTTGTAACCATTCGTCCTGCTGTACCGGACTCTCGCTCCGTACTTAGCTTCGCGAAGAGAAATTGTAAAAAGCGAAGAAGCAGAAATTTACGAAGCACGGGATCGTTGCGGTCCGAAGTGACCAAGAATAATCACATAACTCAAATACATTTATAACGTTTCTTCACAGTCCCCCACATTACTCATTTTTATCTCATTCTAATTTTAAAGCTACGCTATTTCATCTTGCATTATATTTATTGAATTAAGATTCTTAAATAAAGACAGTCTAATAACATGTTGATATATTCTTCCTATTTTTTTTCTACCTCTGGTTCTTGTATTACGTATAAAATTATTTTATTTAATTACACTTTTGCCTAACGCAGTTTAATCTTTTCGCAAATTCGGACGACGCGAAATTATCTCACGTTGCTACGCGCCTACGTTATCGTGTTTCTAAAGACTAGCTCTCGCGAGATGAGGTTGGAGTATAAAACAACCTTTATGGTTAACGGTTTACCTGATGCTTCTCTTCGTTATCAGTAAAATCGCACGAATTACGTCATCGAAATTTTGTAGCGTATGTTATATCTTGATACGACCAGTCGTATGTTAATGAAACGCGGCATATAAAGTTGTAAATTGAATTACACGATTCCGAGAAAGTATCAACTCGAGCGGAAATAAAATTAGCATATTCGCCAATTTTCAGATTAAATGCCTCATAAATTTATTCGAATTGTTGCTAATATTCATATATGTCATAATGATAATTTAGATTCAGAAATGTTGCAGGTTTAAATGAACGTTCATACTTTGCGAGAATAAATCTCACCTTCAATAAATGGAAATTAACAACGAGATTAGTAAATTAAGCTCTTAAAAAATCGATCAATTAAAAAGCGTGTAATATCGAAAGTATTCTACTTTATTTAACGTTTTAGGCAGACCGATTTTTTTTTCGCATCGTTTGTAAGGAGTGCTCGCTTGGGAGTTATGCCGGACGATTTATTTAAGCGGACGAACTTAACCTCGGGAACAGTCAGGCTCAAGATAGGAGCCCAGGAATGCTGGACGGTTCAGACATCGCTGCCTTGAATCTGAACGCGCGTTTGAACTCTCAACGGCTACCAGAGAGAAGCCTGAGAGCGGCCATCCTGGCGTTTTTCGTAGGACGTCTACTGTCCTCTTTTCAATATCTGCATCCGTTTTAAAACTGGAATTACATTGCCATATCTATTTTTCGACACTGTGTCTAATATACATCCCTGCTACATCCGCCAAAATGCGAATCAAGAGAATACGACTTCGTATAAGGATTTAATTTTGCATTGAAATATCAAGTATAATTCCAACTTTAAAATAGATGTAGATGTACTTTGTTACAAGTATGAATGGATAGGCTAGAAAAGATTAGAATAACATCGGCGCATTATAAGAATAAATACAATTCAATAATCATTAATTGCAAACATACTTTTCTGTTACGTTAATTAATTGCAATATATTGTGCAAAATGTTTGTAATCTATCTTTAATCAATACTTGTTACATATACTTTAAAAAATGTTCTGAGTATTGCTGTACCAAAGATAATATTTAATCCTGCCAGAGTTTATTGTTTTTAATAAATTTGAGTAAATCTAAATAATATTGCGTCATATAAGAAGATAATACAATAAAAACATTTATTGGCATAGTAAGCTTTATTTCATAAGCTCCGTTACTATATATTTTCGTATGCACAACAATAAGAGACAAATAAATACATATATTGCATGATTAAATCAATACTAATCTATGCTAACCCATCCACTATTTTAAGTAATGAATCTATGAATGTGAAAATTTATTCATAATATTCCTTTATGTAATTATAAATTCTTTAATCTACTTAACTAATCTACTTAACTTGAGAGAACATATCTTATTATGTATTCATAGATCCATTATCTTCAAATTAGAATAAAAATAATAATTTAATTTGGACTCACCGACACGATGTGCAACAGCGGAGTTGTAGTATACACGTTGATCTGTACATACAAATATATGCAAATTATACTAACGTCCAAAATAATTAATATTTTAAGATTAATTATTATTAATTATTTTATATACAATATTTTGTGCAAATAACAAATAACAAATAAACGAATAATTACCTAAGCGTTGCTCTGCCGGCGCCTGATGCTCCTCCTGAGCCCCCTCCTCCTCTCAGTCCATCGACGGCTGCTCCTTCGATAGCACACACTCGCGAAATTACACTCCCGACGCGCACTTTGTCATTTTTTGATAAAGAAGTAATTCGAAAAAATTATTCGCACGAAGCTACAAATCGTTCAATACTCGCAATGTCCGAAGCAGGCAACAGTGACAAAGAAAAATCAGAAAATGCGTCGTCAAATTGACCGCGACTATGTATTAGAAGAATCTTCAAATTTTCACCGCGATCAAGATTTCAGATAACGCGATTTATAATACCGGACCGATTATCGACTGTTCTGCTTAAATGCCTCCGTGCGAATGATAGCGAAAAGTGATAGAGCGTACAGAGAGGACAGCGCGTGTACGCACATCATTGGTTGCGAAAACGTAAACAACCATTTACGTCACGCGTAAGGAATTTCGAAACAGGCAACAGCGATAAAGGAAAGTCGAAAATTGTGTCGTCAATTTGACCGTGACTATGTTATACCTAACTATTTTCATAAACTTTCCGCGATTTTCATATATGAGTAAATATATAGTCGCATTTTAATACGTCACGGAATTTTATTCTCTCACATTACAAATAATGAAACATTTATTGCATAAATGAATAAAATACGTAAGCTAAAATTATGAAAATATATATCCATAAAATAAATTATTCTAGTTTTTAATTGCGATAAATTAATTAGTTGCAAAGGACATAAATTTATAATTACTCGTAAGAAAGAATCTTCTAATTTTCACCGCACTCACAATTTGAGATAACGCGATTTGTAATACCGGACCGATTATCGACTGCTTTGCTTAAATACTTCCGTGCAAATGATAGCAAAAAGTGGTGGAGCGTACAGAAGACAGCGCGGGTACGCACATCATTGGTTGCGAAAACATAAACAACCATTTACGTCACGCGTAAGGAATTTCGAAACAGGCAACAGCAACAAAGGAAAGTCGAAAATTGTGTCGTCAATTTGACCGTAACTATGTTATATCTAACTATTTTCATAAACTTTCCGCGATTTATATATATATGAGTAAATATATAGTCGCATTTTAATACGTTACGGAATTTTACTTTCTCATATTACAAATAATGAAACATTTATTGCATAAATGAATAAAATACGTAAGCTAAAATTATGAAAATATATATCCGTGAAATAAATTACTCGAGTTCTATCGTGATAGTTAATTAGTTGTAAAGAATATGAATTTGTAATTACTTGTAAGAAAGAATCTTCTAATTTTCACCGCAATCACGATTTGAGATAACGCGATTTATAATATAATACCGGACCGATTATCGACTGCTCTGCTTAAATGCTTCCGTGCGAATGATAGCGAAAAGTGATAGCGTACAGAGGACAGCGCGCGTACGCACATCATTGGCTGCGAAAATATAAACACCATCTACGTCACGCGTAAGGAATTTCGGTGGGATTTTCGTAACAAATTTCGAACTAGCTCGTAGCGCCGGTGATTATTTATATTTGTGCTCTACAACGCAACACACGTATACGCGCTATTACGACAATAAAAATCGCTATGTTCGCGTTATATTTTCTCAAATTAATCGCAACAAAAATTAAAAGATTCTTTCCTACGAATAATTATAAATTCAAATTTTGCGCAACTAATTAAGTGCCGCCATTAAAGGGTATTTTATTTCACAAATGTACCAATATCTTAGATTGCGTATTCATTCATTTATGTATTGTAATAAATTATTCATTATTTGTAATATAAGATAGTAAAATTCTGTAACACTTTAAAATGCAACTATGTATTTACTCATATATTTCTTATATGTGAAAATCGCAGAAAACTCATGAAAGTAGTTAAGCCTAGCATAGTTGTGGCGGGCAATTTCTGATTTTCCTGTCGCCATTGCTTCGGACATTGCGAATGTTGAACGATTCGTAGCTTCATGCAAATAACTTTTCGAGTCACTTCTTTGTCAAAAAATGATAAAGTGCGTGTCGAGAGTGTAAAGAAATTTTGTGAAAGAAGTGTTGTGCCATAAAGGAGCAACCGTTGATGAATTACCGAGAGAAGGAGGCGACTTGGGAAGCGTCGGGCGACGGCGGAGCAACTATAGAGTAAGTAGTTAATTGCACACAGTATTTATTTTTTAAATATTAATTATTTTGGACGCTAATATAATTTGCATATTTTGTATGTTATAGATCAACGTGTATATCGCACTCCACTTGCGCATCGTGTGCCGGTGAGTCCAAATCAAATTACTATTTTTATTCTAATTTAAAGACAATAAATCTGTGAATAATAAGATATATTCTCTCAAATAAAATAGATTAAAAAATTTTGATTAAAAGAATAAAAGAATATTATAAATCAGTAGAATATTTCATAGAACCATTGCGTTAAAATAAATAAGCTAGCACTAAATATTATATTAAAGATTAATATCGACAACAGAGTGTCTGCGTCTATTTTAGAATCAGTATTATATTATATATATAAATAAATTTATACACATAGTATTCTCTTTATTCACAATTTCTGAATGCACAAAAATATGCATTAAACAACAATACTGAAAAATAAATATGACTATCATAGTTTTAGCTTCAAAATAGATGCAGCCAGTAGTATTAAATAGAGAATTTTCTTATAAAAAGCGTCGGATTTACTGTTCTCATTTCTCTGGCAATTACCTGTTTAATGAAAAATTACAATCCGTGATTCGAACAAAATAAAAATTACCTGATCTCGCTATCAATCTTACATCGTATAGCTCGCGCACATGTATTCATATCTTAATAACATAACAAACAAAATATTACAATATTACAATCCTCTTTAGTGGGAAGAACGTTTAAAAGTAAATTTCAAGTCCTGAATTCGGTCAGATTTTAACTGGGGTCCGACACCCCCGGGGTTATTTCAGATTCAGAATGTTATCTTTTCGTATTTACGTTTCCAAATATGACAATGGTTGCGAGATAAGAGCAAGGAGGTACTGACTGTGAAACCTTACGTCCGTGGTAAGCGCTGCTGGTCTCGCGGCAAAATTCCCGTCCGCGGAACAATGTAATATACGTCGTGTATAAGTACGCGGGAGATCGCGCGGAACAATCGTGCGGGCCCTACGTGAAGCGGCGAAGACGAAGCTTGCGAGTACCGGGTACAGGAGAGAGTCACGCACGTACGCCGGGCCTTATCGTCGCGTTCACATCCGCCGTCGGCGGATAGAGAGAAAGCGCAGAGAGGGCGGACGGAGAGGAAAAAAATGCCGGATTCCCAGGATCCGCGGATTCCCTCCGGGAGCGGCGGACGCGTACGCCAGTAATGCGGAAGAGATTTCGTTTTGCGGATTAACTTTGCGAAGTGCGCGGCTCTCGAGAGAGGCCGGCCTCTATCCACATGACCAATTTGTGCACCGCCAGTCCCGCTCGTTGATTAATGTACAACGCAACAAACGCAGTAAGTTATAAGAGAGAGAGAAAGCTCCAGAGAAAACCTTCTCGCGGCGAGAATTTTGCCAAGAGAAATTGCCGAAATCTCTGAAACCGAGTATTTTTATTCTTATTCCAACATCTTGAAATAACAATCAATCGTTCTGATTGCTAGAGAATTAAATCGTTCTACAGAACTTTTAAGTTTGCTAAATAAAATATCGAGTTAGAAAAAGAGAGAGAGAGCGAAAATACGATAAGACAAATCTTAACAAGATAAAAGATATTTCAAAATATTTATTTTATAGGAAAAATTTTACTTTATAGACACCAAGGTATTTTAAGGCTGTTATAATTAAAAAATAATGCCGTGCTGTTATAATCAAAAAATGATAAGTAAAAAGTTAGCTGTATGATTAATGCTTAAAAATAACACTCTAGCTTTCAACAATCTCTGCATTAAACTTGGCCGTCCATTACTGTACGATACTTAGCAAAAACAACAACCTGACAGTAACAAATAGCGACTCGATGCATTATTCAAATTGTGTCATACAAAATATGTAAGATTCGCGTTACACGATATCAGGCGAGCAACCCGGAAACGTCGCGCTTGCTCTTACCGCGGGCTTGTACGTTTTCAGGGTATCCTGCAATGCTGACGCTAGGAAACGTTATGCAACTATGCGCAACGTGACTCCCCTTCTCTCTTTCTCTCCTTCTGTCTGCGCCTAGGCCCGGTGCAGATCCTATCGGTTTCCGAAGGTTGACGATATCGCACGGCAAAAAGTGATATACCGCAGCAACTAAGACCACGGATTTACAGACCGCGGGGCGTGTGCGTCGTCATACGGTCACATTAATGTCAACGGCATGCAACATGATCATTCGTAACCGCGAGTCGCGTCATTCTCCCTCGCGCTTACATATCGCGATCGTTAGCTCCGCATTGCGTTCCCACGACCGTTCTTCCGGTCCGAAATCGGTGACGACTGCGATCACGCGATACTTCCGCCGCTCTTAAGTGGAAAATCCCTCGAGAGAAAAGCTTCATTCGCGGCTTTAAAGGGCGTTCCAAAGTCTTTCACAGATCTATTATACAGCGTTCGTATTCGTAATTAACATCCCACAGACATATCATTAAGTATTTAAACGATGTTCAAGTTATACGCAAACACATCAAGATACGCGGACGTCTCTTCATTAATGTCGTCATCGAAAATAACACAAACATCATTGACGCGGGTCCTTTCTGTCGCCAGAATCGCCCGAAATGGTTTCGAACTATCGACTAGCTAATTAAATAATCCTCCTGGACGCGGTCGCGGCTCGTAGACGGTAGGAACAGGTCGATACATCTCATTGTAACAGGATAAACAGGAGTTGGGACACGGCGGTGGCTCGACGAAGCTGAAGGAAGGAAGAGGGGAAGACGGGTGGGGCTGCGGGAAGAAGGAAGCGAGGAGAAGAAGAGAGGATCAGGGGACTTAGTTTCGGTTCGTGAGCCCACCGGCCGTTGGAATCCGAGATCGCGTCTGATCGCAATTAAGGCCCCGCTCCGGTCGCGGCTGTGAATATTTTATTCCAGTCGTTGTCTTCCTTGCGCTCCGTCTCCGTCTCTTTCACTTCTTCCTCCCCCTTGTTCCTTCCACCGGGTTTCTCTCCTCGCTGGAACCCTCTCCGTACCGTCGACAGTGTTACACCGTGCACACTACCCCGTCCCTTCTTTCCCCTCCCCCCCCCCCTTCCTCATCGCGACAACGCGCTCGAACCTCTTCCCCGTAATACGGCGGATCGCCCTCCTTCCCCGCCGATTCCGCCGACGTACCCCCGGGTCGGGGGAGGCACCCAATTCGAAACGAGCGAATTTGAATACGGCCGGCCAGGTCCAGAAACAATGGGGACATCGACGGACCACACGGGATGCGAGCAAATGGTCG